TTGCGGAGCACAGGCTCCGGACGCGCAGGCTCAGCGGCCATGGCTCACGGGCCCAGCCGCTCCGCGGCATGTGGGATCTTCCCTGACCGGGACACGAACCCGTGTCCCCTAGCATCGGCAGGCGGACTCTCAGCCACTGCGCCACCAGGGAAGCCCACCAGAACGGGATCATTTTAAAGGGAAAGAAGGGCCCTAAGACTTGCTGGCACAAGTTTACCTACACTTTAAATTAAGCAATAATGGCTAAATTAAAAGTCACTTTATATAAGAGTTTAGAGATTAATGGAATTTACTTTTAAACTTACTTGGCAAATAATAAACTCTGAAAAAAAGAAAATCTTGTCTGTTATTGACAATATCACTTGATTAATCAATTGCTTTTATTTACACCTAAGTGTGATTTATTCTTCACAAAGGTGTATATACTAACATAGAGTTTAGCTAAAATCAAAATGTCCCCAAATTCTTAAGTGCTGAACTGAACATAAGAACCTACGATTAGTTGAGCCACTCGTTTGTAAACATAGACAGTTATCTCTGGTTATTTCCTCAAATTCATATCCTACCATAACAATTATTTTTTAAACACACTAGCAGAGTCTCTGATAATCAAAGTATCAACCCTATAGGTTCCATTTTAAGCATTTAAAAAAATATATTCTCAGGAAAATCTAAGTTCCAATTTACATTATGACCTTATAACTTTTTAAAGTTACTCTTTTAAATCTTTTATTTTAGAATATTCTATGTCTTAAGACACTTCATTTTCATACATTTATTTGCATTATATTTGATTCGTACTCTGCTCTAAAAATCCACAGAACAATTTCACATGGAGAGTTTTATTACGTAAATAATTTTGTTCTGTCCTAACAACTTAATTAGTTTAGAAAAAGCCCCACACTGTGAACTGCTTATCATACCGAACTCTTCCCTCTTACGAACTTTATAATGCTTTTACAAAATTGTTTAATGAATAGCATTCACTTTCACATGAATATTCAAATTCTCTATGTAAACCCTGAAAGGATCCACCATCTCAAAACTATCTCCAAAGTCTGTCTGTATAAGACACTGCTCCTGTTTCATTCTCAGCTATAATAACTAATACCTTAATTATCATCAGAACCAAGACCATTTAATATCACTGCCCCTAATCTTTTTTTCAAATAGGAAACTTGAACACAACTGTAATTCTTTTAAGAATCTTTATTGAATTTTTTTGGAACAATTTAGTTTGCTGGATCTCGATGCAGTTTATAAAAAAACGTCAGCACAGTTTCATATAAACTGCAATCAAAAAAGTAACTTGTCAAAGAAGTTATCTGAAGTTGCAAGTTATTTTTTGTAATATGCAGAACAGGAAAATGTAAGCATGCTCTCAGATGCAGGCGCTCCTGTGTGCTATGGAGTTACTTTGAAGAGCTTGCTAAGGTCTGCGGGCAGTTTATGGAATGCAATCATTCTCTCCACAATTTTGGTACATGAGAATAAAACTGATATTTATGAAATACGTCTTTTTCTCAAAAAAGTTGAGGCAGCTTTTGTTGAATGCTATCTGTGGGTGTACACTTGATAACCTTGAACTGTACTAAGAGAAACAGCCAGGAGGCCATGTTCATGCTGAAACTTGAAAACATCCCTCCAGACGTGTTGATTTCCCAGAAAAGGAAGAGGAGAAAACACTAAGCACAGTTGTCCATTGTCTTACAGTAGCAGAACACACCAAGAAACTTTACATAAGGGAGCAAATTCCCTTCACTGCTTTCAGTCAAGGTCAGTGGCAGCTACAGTGGAGAGTGGTGGTGCAGCAAGCCTAGGACAGGACAAAAGCTGAAGTCTACATCTCATGCATAGCTGTCCTTGTTCTGTCCTCGCGTGGTTCTCAGACATCCGAATTAGAACTGAGGTTTGTTAACCTGGGGTCCGCATTGATTTCATATCTGTAATGATACCCTTCCATGTGATCCCTGCAGGCATCTCTGATGTTATGCATCCACTTTTTTATCCCTTTGCGGTTCAAATACAAAACCAGTAGGAAAATGGCACCTATCAGGGCTAAAACAATACCCAGGAAGACATAAGACGTCTGCAGGGATGGAGGAAGGATAGGGTCACAGTCCAGGTCGGAGCTGTTGAGTTCCAAGAGGACCCGATTCCTCATTTTTTCCGGGAATGCACAGGTGAGCCTGGCTTTGCCCTGCACTACCTCTGTCTCCTTGAGCCAGGCCACCATGTCCGCCATGTGGCAGTCACAGACCCAGGGATTGTCGTCCAGGAAGACCCTGACGTGAGGCAGGCTTTGCAGCTCTGCCAGGGTGCCGTTGTGCAGGACCTTGAGGGCATTGTTCTCCAGGTGGAGGCTTTCGAGGTGTGTCAGGTTGCGGAAGGACACATAGGTCAGGCTCACCAGCGAGTTGTTGCGTAGGTCCAGGTGCCTGAGGCCGGGCAGCTGGGCCAGGACGTCGCGGGGCAGGTAGAGGAGGCGGTTGCTGACCAGCTCCAGGCGGCGGAGCCCGCGCAGCGCATGGCCCGCTCGCAGGGCCGCTGCCACCGCACCCTCAAAGCTCCGGTTCTGCCGCTCGGCCGCAGGGGGCACGATGCGGTTCAGGATCAGTTCCACCAGGGGGCTGGGGGCCGCGACGCTGGCGTTGCCGCCCGAGAAGGCAAAGGGGCTGAGGTCGGCCAGCGGGTTGTGGCTGAGGTCGAGTTGGCGCAGGCTGGGCAGATGCGCGAAGGCGCCGGCGCGCACCTCCTCCAGGTGGCTGCCGCTGAGGTTGAGCGTGGCCAGCTCGGCCAGCGGCGGCCGGCGGGCGAAGGCCCCGGCGGGGAGCACTGCCAGCTGATTGCCGGTGAGGAAGAGGTTGCGCACGTAGGGAGGCAGGTCCGCGGGCACCTCGGTCAGGTTGCGGTTCACGCACTTGACGGTGCGCGCCGCCTCGGAGCACTCGCACGCCGGGGGGCATCGGCCCGGCAGCTGGGGCTGGGCGGACGCCGCGGAGACCGGGAACGCCGAGGAGGTGGACGAGGACGCAGAGGAGGGGAGGGAGGACGACGAGACCCAGCCCAGGAGTACCAGCGCCAGCCGTGCCAGCCGCAGCCTCCCGTCCCCGGCGGCGGGGCCCCGGGAGCACCCCCCAGGCATCGCGGCTCGGGTCTCCCCGGAGCTGGGCCGGGACGCTGCCCGCTCCAAAGGTTCGGGAGGTTGGGCCCGGAGGGCGCGGGCCGGCCGGAAGCGTCTGGAGGAAACTTAAGTCTTGTGGAAGCTGAGGAGGGCTGCCGCCGCCGCCGCCGCTGCTGCCGCAGGAACTTGGCTAACCCCCTCGCCGCCGGGTGTCCCCCTCCCGAGGCCGAGTCCCCCGCCCCTTCCCTCCAGAAAGTACGCACGGCGGGTCGGGACGCTCAGCGCCGCGCTCTTCCTCCGCGCCTCTTCCAGCAGCCGCCCCCGGCTGGCACCTCCTCGCCTCTTTTGTTGGCGCCTCGCGCAGGATCCGCGGCGCGACCTGGGACAAGCGGGAGAGAAGCGTGAGGGGCAGTGGCGCCCGCAGCTCCCCGAGTGCAGGAACCGGCCTCTGCCAGCCAAGTCGTCCCCACTCGGTACCCGAGACCTCCCTCCTTTAAGCCCGTCCGAGCCTTGCCTCCAACAGCGCACCACGCAGATCCGTACCCCGGGAGAGGGGCGCGCGACCCGAGATGCCGAAGCGCAAAGTCTTCCGTCTGCTGCGGCCCCTACTATATATACCCTCGCAGCTCCCGCCCTCCTCCTTTCCCGATCCCACTCGTCCTGTCCCCCACCCTCCCCCGCTCCCCCGGCATCGAACTTCTCGCTTAATCCCCAGCGCCTCCCGGCCGAACTTCTCACTCTCCCAGGTCCTTCCCCCCACCGTCTCCGCAGACTACCTGCCTTCCGGGGTCTCCGCCCCCCGCCCGGACTTCTCCCGGCCCAGGTGAGGATGAGAGGGAAGTTTCATGCTACAGGAGTATTTTCATCTCTCAGAACCCTCTCGGATTAAGTGCGGGAGCGTATAGCTGGCGCCCCCAAGCCCGCGCCCCCGCCAGCCCCTCGGATCCGAGGGCATTCCAGTCATCTCCGAAAGGGAGGGGAGAGGCCGCGAACAAAGCGACGGCGGAACCCGGACCTGCGCTCCTCTCCTGCCCGAGGGCGGGGAGGGGCCCCGGAGCCGCCTTCTCCGCCACCTCCCCACAGCTCACCTCCGAGCGCGCCCGCCCGCCCCCTCTCGAGACAGCTCCCAGTCCCACCGGAGTCGCGGGGACTTCTCGGGTCCGAGCTGCGCGCCGACTCTCCTTGCACCCCAGCCCCAGGCCCAACCTCCGCAGCTGGGAAAAACCAATCCGGGGGGCGGGGGAGGGCAGGCCTGCCGGAGTGGCTGCTCCAGCCGCGCGGCCAGCCTCGGCGGACGTCGGTGGGGGGATTGAATAAAGGAGGCGAGGGGGGAGTCTGCGCCACGCACCTCCCTCTGGTGGAAACTGACGAGGAATGCGCCAGAAAAGGTGAGGGAATCCCTTCTTCTCCCCCTTCCCCGACATCCTATGGTGGCTCCTCGTTTTGCACACTGGACTTACCTTGGACAGGAACAAAACCGCTGGTGAATCTCGTGGAATTCGTCCTGATTCGGGCACTTATGGCAGTAACCGGGTAGATTTAGGCATCACAGAGCAACGCGAAGCAGCAGCGTAAAGAAGGGAGCTGAAAATGCACAGCGGCAGCGGTAAAACGCCCAGCAGCCTGCAAGGGAGTTTCGCGCGAGTCTTCCCACCAAAGTGATAACGTTAGACTGCCAACTTCAGATTTAGGTGTAATTAATGCGTCCCTACCTGTCCCGCCCCCGCACTTCTCCAGATAAGTTACGGAACTTGTGAAGGGAGAGAGCTAACTTTAAGAAGGGGGGGGGAAAGATTGGTGGAGAGGAGATTCACTCTTGATTCATGAGCTTTTCCCTTCCCCAAATTAAAAGCAGAAGGAAGAAAACGGCCGCCAAAGCGTCCTAGAAACAAAAGGCATACAGAGAGGACGTGAGTCACCCGGAAAGCGGACCCGCCCCGCTCACCAGATGTGGCAGCGATGTGTCAGTGCAAGTCACTTAAGATGGGAGAGCTCACGGGGTGGGAGTGGGAGGGAGGCCGCCTGGGGAGAGCAGAAGTTTGGTACCAATGTCTAACGCCCCAGGAGGCGCCAGGTAGGCAGGGAACCGAGAGGCTGAAGTCGGGAAAGGAGACTGAATGACTGAGTATAGGGGGGATTTGTTACATCAGAGAGGTTTGGGGTCCTGCAGGCGCAATCCTTGTTCTCTCAGTGACTCTGTATCTCCTTTCTCCCCATCACATAATTTCCCTGAAAGGATGAGAAGGTGCTGGTTATTCAAGGCTTGTTCATTTTAGAAAGAAAATGACAATTAGAGAAAACAGTTGGGGAAATTAAGATCTGGTAATATGAAAAGGATCGAATAAAGAATGCCGAAGTTTGTGCCTGTAACGTGTGCCTTTACTGTGAAAAAAAGGCCCCAACTCTCAAGTTGATTCCTTATTACTTTTGTGGGAAGAGATAGTCTGCAGAGCCAATAGCCAAAATGACCCAGGCAAGACCTGGAGGGGTTGGAGAATGCAACAATTTGTGCAGAAAGCCATTTTGTTCACTTGTATCTTCAGCACGTTTATCTAAATCTCTTTTTCTTGTTTTTAAATGTGTTTTTTAACCCGAACGTGAAACACTTTGACCAAAGAATCTGGAAAGCTGTAGTGATGTTCTGTATCCCGATGGTAGTTGGTGGTTACATAAATCTATACATGTGTCAAAATTCATAGAACTTTGTACACCGAAAAGAATCAGTTTTACTGTAGGATAACTTTTAAACAAAATTAATTACTCATGGGGAAAAAAACTGTCGTAATGCTCTGGCATGATATTAATTCTGGTTCTGTTCTGTTAAGGAGAGTGAGAAGCACTTTAGGATTTAGAAAGATACATTCTCATCCGATCTTAGAGTCAACCCGGCAATATAGATACCATTAGTACTATTGTCTTGTTATTCGTGTTATTATTCTGTTTTACAAATGAAAAAACTGCGGCTCTGAACTGAGAATAGCTAGCATTGACAGTGTCTTTTACTTGCCAAGCCCTGTGCTTATCACTTTACAGAAATTATCTCTTTTGTTCTTCCCATCAGTACTCAGGTAGGTTCTCTCACTGCAGTTTTAAAGAGGAGAAAAACTGAGGCAGGAATAAATTATATAACTTGTTCTAATGTGTGGTGGAGGTAGGGACCAGGCCCAGATTTGTCTGCTTTTCTTAAATAGCTCACATTCTGCCTCTGGGTAAAATTGAGGAGTTTGTGCAAAGTCCTAGTCTGTATCACTTAGGCAGAACCAAAGCCTCTCCCCTGGTTCTCTTTCTCCTGATTTTCTTCTACTTACCTGCAGCTGGCAGTTGGTTATGGCTGCTGAATCAGGACTCAGAAATTTGGGGTCATTTTTAGCTCCACCACTTACTCATTGTGTGGTTTCTGTATACCTCTGTTTCTTAATCTGTAAAATAGGACCACTAATAAAATGTTATGGCATTTCCATGAGAATTGAGATAACAGGCAACATTGCCTGTTTTTATTGTGTTCTTCTTAATTACTCGCCCTCTCGCCATTTACTGTGCACCCACCATATCCCTGTAACTGTGTTAGTGATAGGAATCCAAGGATGAATAGTGTAAGGTCTCCTTCAAGTAGAATTGCCAGATTTAGCAAATAAAAATACAGGACACTCAGCTAAACTTGAATTTCAGATACACGATGAATGATTGTTTAGTATGTGACTATGTCCCACGCAGTATTGGGGATGTACTTACACTAAAAAATTTTGTTCTTTACCTGAAATTCTAACTTAACCTGGCATCCTGTATTTGGTCTGGTGACAAAGGAGTTCGTAACCTGGTGGAAGAAACACAGAAACAAGAGCTTTCAATGCAGAACATTGAATGCAGTTTAGCATGTGTATCTTTCCAATCTCTCTCTTTGTATATATTTTACTTCTGTTTTTGCTATTTTTTATATGAATGGGATCATAGTATATGTATTATTCATGATTTTTTTAGTTTTAAAATAACCATATATCATTCTGTGTCCATACATATAGGTATGCTTTCTTCTTTATTTTATAGACTGCAAAATATTCTGTACTGTGGATTGTTTTACCACATTTTTTAACTGCCCTATTGAAAGACATTAAGATCAGTAACTACTTTTTAAAGAAGTTTCCTTCAAGTGAGAAAAGCTTACTAGGATCAGTTCTATTTTGATTGTCTTCAGCATCTAATTATCCGGAATTATCATACTTGCTTTACTCCTGACAGCTTGAAAATTTTTTTGTGCATGATGCTATTTACATGCTCTAAAGCAGAACAGAGAATTTCAGAGCACATTTTCCCCCATTTATTCTTCCATTCCAAAATAAAATAAAAGAAGGATCTGAATGTCCTAATGGAGAAGAACCAATCTAGTGTATTTCATAGGTCATTTTGTAGCCTCCAGGAAAATGTCTCTGCACTATTATTTATTTAGCACATTGTTTCTGCAGAAACCGTTTTTCTTCTGATGACCCAAAGGAAAGTCATTAGTAAATTTTTGAGATATTGCTGCTAAATCCTGGGAAGGCAAGGAATAACGTATTTTTTTAAATGATGGGCGATTATGGCTACCCTCAATAGTAACTGGAAGAGAGAAACCATGTGGTGCAGCATGGACAAACATCAAGGTTATTTAAGACTAGTTAATTTTGGTCTCTGCCTTAAATTAGCAAAGGAGTTGATAAAGGTGAACACTCTCAAGTCTAAAAAATTTCTAAAACAAAATCAAACATCGGTGAATGTCAAACACACATGTCCTAAAACCATGAACCAACACTTAAAACCAGAACAATCAACCTGACAGTCAGTTTGCCGGGGGGGGGGGGGAAATTATATATATATATTTTTTTTTTCACAAGTATGACTGAATTTGACATCTAAAACCTTTAGTTACTTCCATTTGACTAAAATACAAAATCTAGTTTGATATATATATATTTTGTTTGTTTGTTTGAGGTACGCGGGCCTCACACTGCTGTGGCCTCTCCCGTTGCGGAGCACAGGCTCCGGACGCGCAGTCTCAGCAGCCATGGCTCACGGGCCCAGCTGCTCCGCGTCATGTGGGATCCTCCCGGACCGGGGCACGAACCCGCGTCCCCTGCATCGGCAGGCGGACTCTAAACCACAACGCCACCAGGGAAGCCCTGGGGGAAAAAATATATTTTAATTGTTAATGATTAAAAAGAAAACTCTTCTCGTGCTGATTTCAAATCATTTGTGAAAGAAAGAAGCTTCTTGTCTGAGATATATAAAAACTAAGTAAAATACTAACTAGGGAATGGGTTGAAAAGGACATATTTGTTTCATGAGTCAGTACAATGGGGGTTGGAGCTAGCAAAAGAAAAATATAGCAAAGACATTTCAG